CTGCCCCCCCCCCCAGCCAGGCTATGCCATTGCCAGTAATACCCCGAGCTCTACTCTACCTGTGACGCCGAATGCCGCTGCTCATTGGTTCCCGCTGTCTGAGGCCTGACTGTCTGGACCTTGACCATCGAACTCGAACCTTGACCTTGGGCTTGGCGGCTTTTACTCCGAAGGCGAAGCCTCTTCCATACTTGAGAAGAAAAAAAAAAAGAAAAAAGAAAAAAAAAGGGGGGATCTGACCCCCGATGGGTCCGACGAGTAAATGCAAACTAACTGTATCTGGAACTGCAACTGCACACATATTCACCTTCCACCCTCCACTTCTCTATTTCTTTCACCTCCACGGCCACAACCACAACCACAATTACATCCACATCCGCATCCGCATCCACATCCACATCCTCCTCATCTTCTTCTTCCTCTTCATTCTTTTTACCTGCTGCACCCCCCTCCCCCCCCCATCTGTGCCGATCCGCCCATCCCCTTCAGCCCTATCCCACCTGCACTGTCGTTTGCTTATATTGCCCCCGACTCTCCCTCTCCCTCTATCCCCCATATCAATCCGCTTGACGACGCCTCGATCTTCGACTTTTTCTTGTTGTCTTCCTCTCTTTCGTCCTGCCTTGCTCCTGACCACCGACCACCGACCATCGACCATCGACCACTGGAATTGGTGGTACTGGCTAGTCTTCCCAGAGCGAGATGAGCCTCACGACCAAGCCGGAGAATGTCAAGTGGGTGGATGTACGTGGGAATCCGCTCTCCTCTCTCCAAGCCTTCAGGCCCCGCCACCATGATACAAGAACTGACTGACGCTGTGAACAGGGCATGCGTGGATTGGCGTCTCTCCTCGTCGTCTCCACACATATTGCCCGCGCCTTTGACGAACCGCTATTCAAGCCCACGAGTGCCGAAGGGCAAGCCCCTCGCATTCTCCAATATCCCATCATCCGGATCCTCTTCCAGGGCCGCATCGGAGTCACCATCTTCTCCCTCGTTACCGGATACGTGTGTGCCTTGAAGCCCCTGCGGCAGTTACGCGCCGGCCAGCAAGATGCCGCCTTCAAGGGCATCTCGAGGAGTGCCTTCCGCCGTGTCCCCCGCCTCATCCTCCCCACGTCGTTCGCCACGACGTTGATATGGTTCTTCTGCCAGTTCGGCGTCTTCGAGGTCGGCAACCGGGCCGCGGGCTGGTGGTTGAACTACACCTCACCGAGCATAACGCCGTATTTCGGAAATGCGGTCAAGAGCTTGATCCTCAATTTGATCACGACGTGGACGAAATCGTGGAATATCTACGACAACAACCAGTGGACGCTGCTGCCGTTATTGAAGGGGAGCATGCTGGTGTATATGTTCCTGGTGGCCACGGCATACTGCAGACCAAGATACCGCATGATCTTGGAATTGGCCATGTTCGTGTACTACTACATCAGCAACGATTGTGAGTCCACACGGAACCCCCCACCGGACAAAGCTAACCCCATACAGCCGCATTCGGCATGCAGTTTTTCTTTGGCGTCTTCCTCGCAGATCTATCCCAACACCCCCCTCACCAAGCCTGGGTCGCAGCCCGCACCTGGCCCGGTCGCGTGCTCTCGCCGGTTCTCATCTTCATTGGCCTCCTCCTCGCCTCCTACCCCGAAGACAAGGCGCAGTGGATGAAATGGTCCAAAATTATGGGCCAAACCTCCGTCTACATCTTCCCCAAGGACAACGAAACGCCCCGATTCTACTCGGGGATCGGTCTCATCTTCATCGTCCTCGGAATCCATTTTTCGAACGCGGTCAAGAACGTTCTCTCCAACAAGTACCTGCTCTGGTGCGGGAAGAACTCGTTCGCCGTCTACCTGCTCCACGGGTCCCTGCTGCGAAGCGTCATGGTGTGGATGTACTTTGGCATCAAGACCCCCCCGGACGTCAAGGGCGCAGACGGGAAGATGGTTCCCGGGCCCAACTTGAAGATATGCGGACGGGCGCGCTGGTACTTCTGGATGCCCATCTGGTTCGTCCTGATGTACTGGGTGGCCCACCTCTGGACCAAACACGTGGATCCCCTGTTCGCGAAGATGACGGAGGGTCTGGTGCACTATGTCTTTGAGGATCAGCCGGCCCCGGATTCCGAGAAGAGGGTGCTGCCGCAGTGAACGGAGAGTGAACCCCGATTTCGTGGCAGACGAAAACATGCCAGGGGAAGAGGGGGAAGGTTGTGTAAGCGGAGTCAAGCGGACAGGAGGGCGGTGGATCCATATCTACGTGAGAGGTGGGCATCTACGACCAGGCATGTTTTTACCAAAGGCCCCTGATAGACGAGATATCTATTGAGGGATGGCGGTGAAAAGAACAGGGTAAGGCCCTCTGGTCCCGCAGGGCGTGTGGGCGTCTCGCGGATCCGCTCTTTGAAGGGCAGGGAGTAATAATATGAGGAACCAGACGGGTTTCTGTCTGTGTCTATGGATCGATTGAGGGATGGAACCTGCCTGGAGGAGCGGGGGAGCTGTATAAAGCTGTACAAAGTTTATTTGCCTGCTGCATATGTTCTGTTATATAATACCCCAAGAATAATAATTCCGTTTGTACATTTGGTTCCAAGTTTACACGTATGTGAACGATTCTTGTCTGTCTGTCTGTACAAAAGCGGTAAAGTAAGGTAAAGAAAGGTAAGTAGGTAAGGCCCTGTTTGGATAGGAAGTGCGACCAAAAGTATACCACCCAAAAATAACATCCTCGAAGCCAACTTTTGAAAATCAAGCAATGAGTTCGACCCCTTTTGGCAAACTTTTGAAAAGTTGTGATTTACCACGGTCCAGGCCTGAGTGTTACAGCCTGAGGATGCCTCAAAATCCTAAAATCTCCACTATCTACCTCCTGGCCACCCTACCCTCAGGGCGTAACACTTCCGCCTGTGACGTTTGTCAGTCGATCTGTTACCTATCGAACTCGAACATCTTGACGTGACGAGCACCAGAACCCAAAGTACCATAGTACGAAGAGGTCTCGGTACGGTACTTCTACAGAAGTCTCGAGGTCACGGACTCTTTTATTCCTCAACCGTTTCTCCACCACAACTCTACCGGTACATGTATCCTTTGCCATGACACCTTTCTATTACGTAACGCTGCTACGTAGCTACGACGTACGTACTGCGTATATTACTATTATTATCATCATTACAGCGCTTACCGTATAGCGCTTCTCTCTCTCTTTCTCTCTCTCTCACACACACACACACACAACGAAACGAAACGAAACGAAGCGAAACGAAGCGAAAGCGAAAGCGCAAGAGAGGCATCGACCACGGCAACTGCCATCTTTCCTCTCTCCTCTCACCATCCGCGTCTCGCCAACGACAGCAGCGCCATGCAGTGCAATGCAATGCAGTGCAATGCCAACCAGCACGAAAACCAACTCTTCCCACCACCCCGCTTACCACACTTCAGCTTCAGCTTCAGCCTTGCCTTGCCTTGCCTTGCAACCCCCTCACCAGGAACACTATTACTTATTACTGACGTCGCAAGCTCTCAGATGTTATTCGGATCGAGAAAGCTACCGGTACGTCGGAGCCACCACTCGAGACGGCTGCGGGTACCTCGAGGAGGCGTCGCTCTGGTTCTTCTTCTGCTGCTTCTTCTTCTTCTTCTTTTTTTAAAGAGGCATGCTTTCCGCGAGAAGAAAGAAAGAAAGAAAGAAAGAGCGAGATAGATATATGTATACCTACTGTGTCGACGGGGTAGGTAGGTAGGTACAGCACAGTACAGTAATCTGAAGCAGTTAGTTATCCTTATTCGTCTGCACAAAAAAAAAAAAAAACTCTGGGAAGAACTCGCGCGAGAGCTCCGCGTGTTCGAAATTTTTTTTTAATTTTTTTAATTTTTAATTTTTCTTAAAAAAAGTAGGGGGGGGGGGGGGGGTAAATAGTAGGTAGGTAGGTACGTATGAGAGATCTTTTCGTAGCGGGATTCTCTTGGTTGCGTCTGCTCCTGTGTAATATGACTACTGTGTAGTGGTGATAGTAGTAGTATACCGGTATCTATTCTATCGTACGGTAAGGAAAAGAGCGAGGGGTTTGCTACGTAGGTACAGTACAGTACAGTACAGTACGCGCGGGAAGAGAAGGTTCGGCTGGGCACAGGTTACGAGTCGACTTTTCAATATATATATATATATATTATTTTTTTTAGGGTAGCCCGTGCATGTGCGCACACCTCTGTGCTTTCAAAAGTTGGAGTACATCTACATCTACATCCACATCTACTGCACTACCTACGTAGGACATCTATCTATCTGACTTCCTATGCGAGCAGCGAGGCCCTGGGGTAAACTTTCCTTCCGGATCTCCGGGCAGACGTCTATCCGTCCCGCTGCTTCTTTTTTTTTTTTTTTTCGTCTCTGACTCGCATCTTGTTTTCTTTTCTCTCTTCCTATGATGGATGGTCTTCCCCACTTCTCCCTATGTACTTCTCCCTACAGTATGCACCTCTCCCTATGTACAGTAGTACGTCCCAGGCGTGAGTAAGTACGGTACTACCCCTTGAGGGGAGGGTAACTAGGGGGTTTATGCGTACAGTAGTGAGTGAGTGGGAACTAGACTTTCGAGGAGGCACCCTCGCGGTGCAATACTAGTACTTACTACGTACTACGTACCGGTACTTACGCCTGTACCGTGGGTACTTCTCGCTTCGCACCGCTCGCCTCGCTCGGAAATGCAGGAATTCAGGAAATCGAGGGTTTCGGGATGTCAGGATTTGAGGGTTTCAGGATTTCAGGGTTTCAGAGTTCAGAGTTCAGAGGCTCCGTAAGCTCCGTTGAGAAGAAGAAGAAGGAGAAGAAGAAGAAGAAGGGTAAGAAGTGGAAGAGGAGAAGGGGAGAGAGTCAAGAGTTCGGGAGGCCGTACTCCGTGAGGCCGTACGGAGCCGTACGGAAAGTAAAGAAAAGGGGAGAAGAGTTTGGGAGGGAGAGAGGAGAGAGTCAAGAGTTGAGGGTTGAGGTTTAAGGGTTCAGAGTTCAGAGTTGAGGATTGGGAGTTAAGATTTTTGGGGGGGCTTGGGTTTTTTTGAGGGAGGGTTATGGGGATGGGAGTGGGATGAGGGGGGAGATATGGAGGGGGAGGTGGGTAGCAGGGAGGGGAGGAGATCTCATGAATTTGAGGGAAAGGAATGGATGGATCGGATTTGGATAGTTGCATCGTTCCACATCCAGTATCATGGTATCATCACATCGCATTATTGTTACGGTCCGAGCAAGGAACGTTCTACAGTAAGGAGTTAAGGTTGAGGTTAGCTAGTCAGCCGAAGTCACATGATATCCCGCTCCCGGAATGCATATACTCTCGGATTCTAGTACTTCCTCTCCTCGTCTTACTTTCTCGATACCAAGCGTACGGTTAGATACTATTCTACAGAGGTACAGCTACTTACAGTACAAGGGTGAAGTGTTGTAACCCTTGCTACTCCACAGCCACTACCCTAACCTAATTGAGCAATAACCTGATCTTGTACTGTATAAGGTTCCGTGCTTAAGGTCAGGCTATTGCTCAACAAGGACAAAATAGTGGCTGTGGAGTAGCAAGGGCTACCTACAACATTTCACCACTGCACCTCGGTATTCCAGCCGTACAGTAGCAATCATGTAGGTATCTTTCGGCTTTCTTTAGGTTAGGTTAAATCTCTACCGCTCGCTTAGCCATCTGGCTTGGTCTCCGAATGTTTCGAATTAATTGATATGCGGGTGTGGAGTGTGTTCTTACTTTTACTTTTATATGTTGTTTGGGATTTCAAAAAGGATAGGGACGTACAGTAGTACTACGTACGTACAGTAGTACGTAGTGCTTGGGTACCGGTAGCTTGAAACCCTTTTTTTTTTCTTTTCTGCATGGGCAGAATGGTGCCAAGTAATCGCTTCGCTTAGGGCGCCGCCCTTTTTCCTTTGAACATTTCACGGGGACTTGAATTTTAATTTTTTTTCTTTTATGTTGTCCGACAATACGGATACACAATATCGCTGATGCCTCGGAAGGCGGGGGGGGCGAAGCTGATTCAGGGCGTTCTTTTAACGTTTCTCGATGCTGATATGGTAGCAAGTAGTACTACGTACGTCGGAACTACATTTTAAATCTCAACTTTACGATTGATAGCGTGCCTGTTAGGTGATTACCTCCCAGGTGATCGATTCCATCGAGGATTTCTTGTCCGACGAATAACTACTACTATCTTCCTGCGCAAGCCAGCCAGTCCTCTTGCCAAGGGGCTATGTGATCGATCCAGAAGAGCCTAATAGCTCTAGGCGCTGGATTTTGGACGCTGATTTTTCGATTCTATCCGAATCTGATAATTATGTCACTTTTAAATTATGAATCCAATATAATGTTTGGATATTCGGATATTGTGTTCTTCACTACGGAGCAAGAGGATGGCGCTAGGTATCTTTTTTGATAGTCTTTCCGTAGTATTGAAACTAGTAGTAGATAAGCGAGAACTTATTCAGCCTTCGGCTAAACGTGCGTGTGGCGTCGGACAACCTTAAAAAAAACGGATACCTTTAGAATAGAGTTTAAGATACAAGCCCTTATGAAGGGTTTGTTGGGCAAAGGTCGGCCCAAGCGATTAGGCGGAATACCGGTAGTGAGGGAAAGAAAAAAAAGAAAAGGCCGATGGTTCCCACTGCCGCAAAGGTGGAACTGCATCGTCCCGCATGCCTTGAGCACTTAAACTTGCTTGCCGCTCTGCAGTATGCAAGCCCCCTGTCTCCGTGTCTCCGAGGCAGTTTTGAAGGTACGGAGGATACTCCGTAGAGTACGAAGGGAAGAGGTGAGGCTAGGTATTCACGCAGCTAATTTGTTAGCTGAGTCAGACATACACGTAGTAGTAGATGTGAGGTATGGGTTGGCAAACGAGTCGAGAATAGAGTTTATCTGATACCTACTATCAATCAAGTTTGCCCTCCTCTCATCAGGACAGTTGTTTCTTGTTCCTTCTTATTGTCCCTAGCTAATCTGGCTGGCCAAGGTATTCGCTAGCTTTTTTAACACACTACTAGTTAGGTAGCTTTTATCTCTTCCTGTCTTTTTCTTTTCAATCTTTTCGAGCCAGTTTCAGTTGCTCTCAATCGAGCAAGAGCAAGCAGGAAAGGCGCCCTTTGTCCATCTGTAAACTAAACCCATTGTTTGGGAATTGCAACCAGCTTGGGCGTCCAATTTAGCCGAGCATCAGTTTTCCAAAAAAAAAATAAATAAAAATTAAAAAAATAAAA